GTTTCTCAGGTTTCAAATAGAGGTTAATGTTAAGTTTTCTCGAAACTTTCCACACATATAATAAATTCATTTTATGCTTTTGCTGGAAAAATATTCTGACTTAGGCCATATTTCCCAAGTCAAGTTGTCGGTGGTTTGGATGGGTAGGAGAGAACCCTGCCAGTTACGAGGTTTTTATGTAGGATTGCACAGAATCATTTTTTTTTTAACAGTTTTTATTGAAATTAAAGACAAGTTTTACAATGTTACCTAAATATAAACATTAATTAAATGAATCAAATTATACAATTCGACTTAAAAAAAAAAGAAAAAGAAAAAGGATAACAATAACAACGAAAAATATATGTATATATTACAACAACGACGATAACAATAAAGATGCCTGCTCAGAATCATGGCTAATTAAAATGCTATGAGATTCGCTCAATTGAACCTCAGGCTACGCGCCTCGTTGGCTATTTACCACGGACTTTAAGATCTAACGATGCGACGGTAACCAGAACGTCGCTTAAAAAGTGAATTTGCGTTCCCTCAGTCTTAATAGCGATTATTCCTCCCTTTTTACTTTGTCAAATGTAGGCGAACCCTCCTGAAGCTGAATTTCAAGGGACCACATCCAAGCTCAGAAATAGAAATAAAATTTCGTCGTTGCTTGTTTACGTCCTCCATAAAACGCCAAATTAGGCATTTTCACGTCGTAGTCGTGCAAAAACAAGAAAGAAATGTCCAAAAAAGCGTGATACACGTGCGAAGTTGTTGTTTTGCTTATTAAACCAATTGTTTTTTTGATGTTCTCGTTGCCGTCCGCGTCGTTGGATCTTAAAGTTCCTACCATCTCATATCCAACGCGCGCTCATGGAATAAATTTGTTAAATAGTCATGCGACGTTATGCTAATTGATTTTCGCATTATCAGTTAAAGATAAGAGTTTTTGTTTACCTGTAATTGCTCTATTCTTCATAATTTGATGTTCCTGTCGACTTATGGACGCCATAAGTCACACGTCTGATTTGTTTCAACACGAACGGATGGAATGGAGAAATTAAAACACTATGAACACTTTTGCATGTAAAAACTCATCAGAATTCTCCGACTTTACACCAACAGATACCTGAAAACATTCGTGATAATGTAAACGAAAATAATTTTTAAGCTCAGCCTAAGAAATTCTGCACATGACAGGGCTGAATGACTTATTGTGCATGTCCGCGACATCGCTGTTTGCCAAGTGAGCAGCGTAGTCCGGGCGCGAAGAGGCGAGAAGGCTGCACTCGGAGGCAGTGAAATTCGCCTGAAAAAACCTTAATATATTTTTCCATTCATTTGTGAGAGCTAAAGAATGAGAAATTCTACAAATACGTTAGTGATGCTTGTCTTCGAAAGAAATGATTAGTAAACCGGATCAAGGAAGCTATTTTTGACCTCTGTGAGGTTTTTCATTGTTTTGATCATAAATGAGCAGAAAGATGACCGAGATAAAAATAGCATTTCTGGAATTTATGCAAAGTCATGGGCTATAAAATTTGACTTATGGCGTACACAAATCTTGGTAGGATGAAAGAGGCCTTTCCTTACATATAACTTTACTCACGTTAAAAATTGTGTTTGTGTTCTGGCTTGTTGTGGAACAAAAATGAGGTACTGGCCAAGCTAAAGGATTAACACACAAATGAGTCTGTGACATTTAAAAATGCACCAGAGAAAGACTGAAGTAAAGTATTCTGATTTAGATTCAGCGTACAAAATTTTGATGGCCTAGCTTTGTGACCTAGCTAGCATTTACTGTTGTAGTAAAACTGATACTGCAGTAGCTTTACAAAGGTTATTCCCCATAAGGAAAATAAGGTTTGGAAGAAAGAAGAGAGAAACCGCAGTGATTTCCTGTGTTCTTACGGTTTTTATGGTGAAGCTTTTGAGGCGAAGAGAGTGAATTAATTAGTCGATAACTGAAACAAGATAAAGCTAAAAATCAGATGAAAATCTACCTTACTGACGCAATGGTATGAGATATCTGGAAGATTTCGTAGAACTGAGTGGTAACATGTTGATAAGCCGTCGTTATTTTCAGTTTACGCTTGAACGCGTATACATTCGAATAAACAGGACTGAACTGCTCTGCGTTGTTTGTAAATCTTCTTTTGATTAAACCAAAAATGGAAGAAAAATTACGAAAGTGGAAGCAAGAACTGAATAAAGTATGAAATAATCTACCTTTAGTTCAAATGGGAACTTTAAATATTCAGAAACCACCTGAAAAATCGGCTGATTTTTGCCATTCTACTTGCCGTCTCCATCGTCTTTCCTTAACCTACCTGAGGTTAAGTCATCAAGAAGGAAAAAAAGACGTCGTTATCATGCAAACATTGATCATGTTAAATTTTTGGAATATTAACCGTGAGGTCGTCGAGATATAGTGCGTCTTACCGTTAATGGCGGCCATCTTGATTTTCAAATAATGTACCGAGGGAGGGGGGGGGGGTGATGAGTTAGAAGATTTACGAAAAAAAAAAAAATGCTTTCACTCTAAAGAATGTTTTATATTTTTATGTTTTTTAGACCTTCGTAGGGGGGTGTTTGTAATTTGGGGGTCTATTACGTGGTTTGGCGGCGTTTTTTTTTTTAAATTTGGGGGGGGGGGGGGGGGGGGGGGGGGCGCTTTCATAATACTACCATAAGGCACATCTTGCGCAAACACACGAAGGATTTTTGGTATTTTGCAGATGAATCACGTAATATATAAGCCAATATGCCTTTGAAGCAGCCCGGCCAGGGGAATGTTGTAACACAGTTTTTTCCAAACGAACTGAAATTTAACGCTACGAAATATGAGATACGCAAAAAGGACGACCTGTCAGAAATGCCTGGCTTTCATCGGGAGTTTTAACAATAGGTTTTCATCTGTGGTGAAGCGAGCATGCTTAGCGCTTCGATTAGGAAAATGTTTCACCTGTGCATGTTTGCTGATTTTATTATTTGGAGGAATGTCCCAGAAACTGTATAAGATCACTGTTTCGAAAGGAGATATTTGAAAACACGCGTAGTCGATGCTGAATGTGTCTGACATGTTTTTCATCGCCAGCGGAGTTCCTTAACTAATGAATGGTAAAAGGCGTGAAATTCCTGTCACGCCTCCTGAACGCGAGCTGCAGTGATGTTATTAGCTGTAGTCACACTACAGACTTTTTACCTAGGTAAACTTGTACGATTTGTTGACTGTTTACCTAGGGAAACTTAACCAATTTTCCCTGGGTAATTTAGTTACTTCGGGGAAATTTTCTCGTCTGGGGCTTGGATATGTCTCGAGAACAATAGGGTTTCCCTTGACAGCTACCCCTTAGGGATGGCTTGGGAAAAAAAAAAAACTTGAGGTCGCTGGCCAATAGACGCTCATCGGCGAAGGTCTTGATGACAGAACCGGACATAGCTCACGTGGTGAAAGAAATTCTTGGGGCCCGACTCGACTACGTCTTCGCCTGTCTTCACCTTGCACGTTGAATTAGCGTACGAAATAACAGCGAAATAAAAGAAAAAAATGTCTCTTTGATCGGCTAGATCCCTGCGTATATTGCCTTCTTGAATTTACGCTCCAAAAAATTCAACTATGCTTGAAAACATTGGGAGCCGATATCAGTAGTGTGTCTGACCTTCCCAGAAATTTTTACCCAGGTGAAAATAAAACCCGAGATGAATTTACCTTGGGAGATTTTTGATGAATTTGCCCTAGGTAAATCAATTTTACCTAGGTAAAAGTGCGTAGTGTGACTACAGCTATTTTTCACGCTTCCTCCCAAACTGCCCCGGCCAGCCCCCTAAGTAGTTTTGACACTCATCCAAGATGGCAGCTCGTTACGCAAAGCGCTGACTCAGACTGGGTACTGTTATATATGAACCTACTGTGTGTCAGGATCTCGTCTTAACAAAAAAAAAACGAATGTCAGTGTTGACAGAAAATATGAAAACCAGACAGATAGTTCACAAATGATGATTAAAGCCTTTATTATGCATGCACACAACACCCTACGTAAATGAGTCATTGCAAACATTAAACAAGATTATTCAAAGTGATTCCGAGGCTGAATCTCCTCCTTGCTACAGCTATTCTTGGTCAGTTTTTCATTCATTTTGCTACAAAGCCGGCAAAAAGGTGGCCTAAAATTGAGTTATTAGCAAACGGCGAGTGGTAGAGTGAACCATCCTCGTTTTGCCAAGTATTGGTCACTTGCATTGGCCTTCTTCATCAAAAAAACGTTTTTCATGAAATATATAAGCTCGTCAGTGGCCCATGTCTTACGTTAAGAGATAACTGACGACTTGTAGATCCTTTTTGACAATTGTGGAGTCGTTTAGCAGCTGACGATCCTGACGGTTACACCCTTATACTTTATGCTTTTTTTCACATAACACTATAGTTAACACTCGCTTACCGCAAGACAGTTTCTATCACTGAGGCCTAAAAAGGTAGTCGGAGCATTGAATGAGGCCGAGGGACAAAGCTGTCTCATCACGGCTCGCTAAACCGTGAAATTCCGCTCAGGGCCTTTTCAATTATCTATTAATTGATGTTTCAGTTTTATAAATCCTGCTCTTAAGTTGGCAACAATAGTTTTGTAGAAGAATAATCATCCTCACTGTTCAGCACATTTAAAAACATCGCGTGTTTTTGTTGTTGAATTTAAATTTACAAGAAATGAATTACAAGTTTGAGACCTAATCTTCTAGCTAACTATTTTTTTATTAAGGCTTAATTAATTCACCTGAAAATTAAGCCAGCATAAGAAATTCTTAAAGACATTTTTTGCCTCGTTAGCATAGGCAAATATCATTATCTGATGAAGCTAATAAAATTAAATTTCCGAATATTGAAAGTGCATAACAATTTCAGTTATCTCTGGAAATTTCACCTCGATATACCAAATAATTTCGGAGAAATGCTCTTTGAAAAACACCAGAACTTACAAAGAATGTATGAGCTCATGAATCTCTCGTGTTTATTTTTCGGGTCACAGAGAAGCGTTAGGTACTCCTCCGTTGAATTGTGCAGGGAAAACACTGCTTACTGTTACATTACTAAAACAGAAATTCGTCACCTGCGACCTGACGCTTTCCATAGTGTTCTTTTTGGGATGGAAAAGCAGAATGAATATTTTGGGTCCAAACATGCATCCTAACAAGCCAAACGAAGTTATTAATGTCGTTAAACAAGACACTAGTGTTACGTACCAGCTTTCAAACGTAGTAAACGCCACAGGGTAATATACAATTGATGACAACAGTAAAATGTACATGGAGAAGGCAATGTATTTTGTCTCGTTAAAGTTATCGGGAATTCCTCGTGCTTTGAAAGCGTAATACGTACACAAGAAAGCCACAAGTAATGTGTAAGCACAGACCGAGACGAAGAGTACAAGGCCGACGTTTGTTTCAAAAGGTTTGCACACAAGAAAGACGTACTCATCCAAGCGAATGATCTTTTTACGCCTCGGAGAGTCCAAAAAAATCCAGAGGACCAATAAACAAAGGGGGGCTAAATTCATGACAGAAAGGAACACACTTTGTCTAGTTAAGGTTTTGTAACAGGGAGCAAACAACTGCGCCACTTTATCAACCTCAAAAACGCTTGTTATTCGCATTGTTTTCAGAAAGAGCACCGTGATACAAAGATTGAGAGCAAAATAACGCCAGAAAGATGCTGCGGTGCAAAGTGAATGGCTGGGTTCAGAAAGGTCGAGGACGGCTAATAAATGGAGAGATAAGATTCCAACGAGCAGCAAAAAAGAGATCTCTCTGTTAGACGCCTTGACGATTGGAGTGTTGTAGAACTTGATGTAGGTGCCGCAAAGTAACAACGTGAGAATAACCCCGATCGAAGCCATCAAGGTTATCGCGATTCCAGCGGCGGTTGTGTGCGTGATGTTGATGATCGGTAATTTTTGACACTTATTTTGCTCTTTGTTTGATTTTGTCTCCGAGTCACATTTTGAGCAATTGGTGGATCCGTTCTCAGTACTGACAGTTCCCTTTGGACACTTTACACAGTTCCAGCAACATAGCGACGTGAATTCCCTCCTGGTACCTGGCAAACATTCTGATGAACAGAAGGATAACGGGGTGTAGAGAGTTCTCCATCGTAGCCTGGACAAATCTATCTTGAGTTTAGGCGTCATATTTTTGTTCCAAGATCCGACCCGAATATTATTTCGAGCCTTACCTGTGGTTGAGTCAAGCTGGAAGTTTATAATGTCGTATAAAACAGTTAAAGGATCTCCAAACTTGTCAAATCTCACCTTGCCAGTCAAGCCGTCAAAACTAATATTTCTGAGATATTTCTCCAAATCACGTCCCTTGACAGTCGGCTTGACTGCAGGACACATTCCTCTTTTATGCATAGTAGCAGAACAGCGGTAAATGTTATCAAGGGCATGTGCAGTAGCATATACAGCGTCAATGAGATAAGAAACAAAGGAGCCGCGAATCTTTTGTACTGCGTGGTGTAACGTTAGATTTGCTTCGCAAGGTGCGACCCCAGGGTCACTGGATTTCAAGGCTGAACAGTTGAATTGTAATCTCCAGAACTCTTCCCACCAGTCTGCGCCTCTTTCAATGCTTTTGGCAGGGGTAATCATCTTAAGGTGCTTTTCAAATTCGGGAGTGGGATAGTCACGTGGCTTTACTCCCAACGAGCCGTTTAGAATTGTGAAGTGAGTGCTAAGAAATACTGCCTCTCCCACGGTCAGTGCGTCGCTAAGTATCCAAGTCTTTCCTTCAAGATTTTGCGCAGTTGCTTCTGCAAAAAATGCACTTCCGTAACCGCCAGAAAGCCAAACAATGATCACTGTGATTTCAGACCTTCTTTTAATCTTGAGAACAGTTTGCTTTATTTTATTTCCATTTCCTAGCCGTGGAATATACTCAGAAAACGCGATGCAAAATGTTTTTCGGTCGAAGGATTCTTTCTCCAGGGCCGAAATACCGTTTCGGCCATAAGAATCATCCAAACCCACGGTCGCGACGTATGTCCAGTTAAAAAGTTCTATGATATCTGCCATGACCTCTGCTTGCCAGTGGTCGGGTGGAACTGTTCTGAAGAGGTGCTTATACATTTGCGAACTCAAATCATCGCTTGTTGCACTCGGGCTGATGGCGGGAATATCGGAAACTTGAAGAAGGCTTCCTACCAGTACCGCACTTCCCGAATTGAAAGGTCCAACAAGTGAAGTGATGGACTTAGTTCTGTTCTTTGCAACGTAGCCATTTGGAGTGGAGCTGACGTCTTGATTAGACATGCACACTGGATCACCATCACGCATGAAGTCATAGGCTATCTGCATGGCCAATTCTTGGCTTCGACAGTAGTCTCTTAAGTCGTAGCCGATCGTCACGTTCGGTAGAAGAGTGAAATTCTTGTTAATTCTTTCAATGGCGTAGATCATAGCCTCTGCGTTTCCTAGTCCTATGGTAGAAAGCCTGTTACATTGGTCACCGGTTTCAGAATAGTGGATGTTAAGGAGACCACCGACCATCACGTCGCCATCTTTATATATCTTATACCCACAATTAGAAGTTGTTTGTTGAAGAAACAGCACCACAGTAAGGAGTGACGGCCTTAAGATGCACGAAAGCACTACCTTATTCTTCCACGTCAT